GCCCCGCAGTCCCACCAAGGTCTGTGATCACTTCTTGTCCAGTGGTGCACAGAGCCAAAGCTCGCTGAGGCTACCTAAAGCAACAGGGGCAGACTGGGACTGGGCAGTAGGCTAGGCTACACCAGGAAAGCTCCAGACTACGAGGACACAGTACAGAGCAGAGGCAGGCCTCCCACAGGACAGAACAGGGGCTGTACATGCCCCCTTTCTAAAACAATTATTTGAGAGCTTGGCTCACAAATGCATATGAGTGTGGGGACGGGCAGAAGCCTCCCCACTGAGCAGGGGGTCGATGTGGGGCTTGATCCCAGACCCCAGGATCATGACCAGAGTTGAAGGCAGATGTTTCACCAACTGCGCCACCCCCATGCCACTACTTTTAGAACAGCTGTTCTATTCTTCTCTTTCTTGATGGATTTCCCTCATAAAGTGACAAAAATTACAAAGCTCCTTTTAGAAGTGATATAAGGGGGATCCCTGGGTGGCGCAGCGGTTTGGCGCCTGCCTTTGGCCCAGGGCGCGATCCTGGAGACCTGGGATCAAATCCCACGTCGGGCTCCCGGTGCATGGAGCCTGCTTCTCCCTCTGCCTATGTCTCTGCCTTGTCTCTGCCTCTCTCTCTCTCTCTCTGTGACTATCATAAATAAATAATTAAAAAAAATTTAGAAGTGATATAAGAATTCTTCATAGGAAATCCCTTTGGAAAAATTATTCAATAAGTGCTTGAGGCAGAAGGTGACACCCCAAAGGGAGACCTTGGGAGGCTTGCTGTGTCTTTTCTCTGTCCTGTCACAAGTCCCACTACTGTAGGGGTGTATAGGGCCCAAGCAGCAAGACTCAGTTCTGGCACTTTCCAAGTTTGGGCTAACCTACACAGATTTGGGGAAGGTATCTTGGAGGCAGGTGTGGGACACACAGCAGTACACCTAGACAAGAACATGAATTTTATATACCAATGCCACCAAAACACTGAGCTGTGTGACAAGTGTCACACGGCAGGAGAGGATGCTGACAGGTTCTGAGTTTTATATCTTCCCCCAGCTGTTGCCACTTGAGAGTTGGTAGTAGATGGCCTAGGAGGTGCAGTCACTGAGATCCATATCCCAATTTTTTTAAAAGATTTTATTTATTTATTCATAGAGACAGAGAGAGAGGCAGAGACACAGGCAGAGGGAGAAGCAGGCATCATACAGACAGCCCGATGTGGGACTCGATCCAGGGTCTCCAGGATCATGCCCTGGGCTGCAGGCGGTGCTAAACCGCTGCGCCACCGGGGCTGCCCCATATCCCAATTTTTTGACTATGCGATAAACAGGAACGAAAAATGACCTTGGACTAACCTCTCCCACTTTAGAGATTTTTTTTTCAGTCTGCAATATAACAAAGTGACACTTTCTTTTTTTCCTTAAAGATTTTATTTATCCATTTAGAGAGGGCTCGCATGAGTGGAAGGGAAGGACAGAGGGAGAAGGAGAATCCCAAGCAGATGCCCCCATGAATGAAGAACCCAATGCGGGGCTTGATCCCATGACTGGAGACCATGACTTGAGCCGAAATCAAGAGACAGAGTTTAATTGACTGAACCATCCAGGTACCCTATAAATTCTATTTTGTATCTACAAAATATTAGAAATACTTATCATACCTTTAGTATTCGAAGAACCTTTTTTTAAATTTCTTTTTTAAAGATTTATTTATTTATTTATTTATTCATGATAGACATAGAGAGAGAGAGAGAGAGAGGCAGAGACACAGGCAGAGGGAGAACCAGGCTCGCCACAGGGAGCCCAAGGGACTGATCCCGGGTCCTCAGGATCATGCCCCAGGCCCAGTGCTAAACTGCTGAGCCACCCAGGCTGCCCATTGAAGAACCTTTTATGTTGATTGTATCACCCACTCAACTCCCTCTTAAAGATAAGGAAAGTGAGGTGAGGGGGTGCCTGGCCAGCTCAGTGGTGGGGGGAGGGGAACATGTGACTCCTGATCTCAGGGATGTTTGAGCCCCACATTAAGTGTAGGGGTTTACTTAATAGCAAAATCTAAAACAAACAAAAAAAGATAAGGAAACTGAGGCCCAGAATTTGACCCGAGTTCACCCAAGTAAGTCAACAGTGATTTTGTGGTTTGAACAGACAGCATGTGCTCTTCTCCACACCATTTTATAAATCCAAGAGATTTGGCTACAAAATTATTAGGACTATTTAGAGTTAGAAAGGTGGCTGGTTATATAAAACTCAGTAACTTTTAAATTTTTTTAAAATATTTTATTGCTTATTCATGAAAGACACACAGAGACATAGAGAGAGAAGCAGGCTCTATGCAGGGAGCCTGATGCAGGACTCAATCCCTGGACTCCAGGATCACAGCATGAGCCAAAGGCAGACACTCAACCACTGAGTCACCCAGGCATCCCAGTAACTTTCTTTCATAACAACAATTTGTTTATTTATTTATTTATTGAAGATTTATTTATTTCTTCATGATGAGAGACACAGACTGAGAGGGAGAGAGGCGGAGACATAGGCAGAGGGAGAAACAGACTCCCCACACGGAGCCTGATGCGGGAGTAGATCCCAAATCCCGGGATCATGCCCCAAGCCCAAGGCAGGCACCCAACAGCTGAGCCACCCAGGCGTCCCAACAATTTGTTTAAATACAATTTAAATGTCTTTTCAAAATGGCACTTAGAAACTTAAAAGTACCTATGAATATGCTTGCAAAGTAAGAAACAAAAGCCCAGATGCAAAACAACAAAAGATTTACTGGAGGCCTAGTACAAGAGTCCAATGAGATGTCACACAGCATTCCTGAGCGGGATAGTCATCACAGTGAACTTATCAGTTCCCACAAGTTTAAAAATAAAATACTTGGGCAGGCCGGGTGGCTCAGGGTTTAGTGCCGCCTTCAGCCCAGGGTGTGATCCTGGAGACCCAGGATCGAGTCCCCTGTTGGGCTCCCTACACAGAGCCTGCTTCTCCCTCTGCCTGTGTCTCTGCCTCTCTCTCTCTCTTTCTCTGTGTCTCTCATGAATTAATAAAATCTAAAAAAAAAAAAAAAATCAGTTTAAAAAAATAAAATACTTCATCAAAATTTTATTTTTCATCAAAATTTAAAAAATGTTTCTTTCGGGATCCCTGGGTGGCGCAGCGGTTTGGCGCCTGCCTTTGGCCCGGGGCGCGATCCTGGAGACCCGGGATCGAATCCCACATTGGGCTTCCGGTGCATGGAGCCTGCTTCTCCCTCTGCCTGTGTCTCTGCCTCTCTCTCTCTCTCTGTGACTATCATAAATAAATAAAAAAAAATGTTTCTTTCAAAGGATACTAGGAAGAAAATGAAAAGACAACCCATAGAACACAAGAAAAGGCTTACAAATCACGTATCTTAAGTACTTGTATTCAGAATAAATAACAAACCCTTACAACTCAACAATAAAAAGAAAATAACCCAAATTTTAAAAGGGCAAAGGATTCGGGATGCCTGGGTGGTTCAGCAGTTGGGCATCTGCCTTCAGGTCAGGTCATGATCCCAGATCTGGGGATTGAGTCCCACACCGGTGTCTCTGAAGGGAGCCTGCTTCTCCCTCTGCCTGCCTATGTCTCTGCCTCTCTCTGTGTCTCTCATGAATAAAAAATAAAATCTTTTTTTTTTTTTTTTAATAAAAGGGCAAAGGATTTGAGTAGGAATTTTTCCAAAGGAAAGACAGAAATGGTGAATATCAGAGCACCTGGGTGACTTAGTTAGGAGTCTGATTCTTGATTTTGGCTCAGGTCATGATCTCAGGGTCCTGGGATTGAGCCCTGTGTTGCCCCAAGTTGGGCTCTGCATTCACCACAGAGTCTGCTTGAGATTCTTTCTCCCTCTCCCTCTGCCCCTCCTCCCCACTCTCTCTCTCTCTCATAAATAAAACTTTTTTTTTTTTTTTAAGAAATAGTGACTACCTATAAACAAATGAATGGATAAGTGAATTGTGGTCTATCCATAGAATGGAATATTATTTGGCTGTAACAAGGAACGAAGCGCTGACACACAGTACAACAAGCATGAACCTTGAAAACACCATGCTAAGTTAAAGAAGTCAGACACAAAAGATCACATATTCTATGGTTCCATTTATGTGAAATGTCCATAATGGGCAAATCTATAAAGTTAGAAAGTAATTTAGTGGTTGCTGGTAGCAGGGGAAAATGGGAAATGTTTGATAATGGGTGTAGAGTTTCTTTTGGGGTGAGAAAATGATCTAGAATTAGATAATGCTGATGCCTGCACAACTGTGAATGGAACACTTCAAGTACCCTTTTATTTTTACTTATTTTTTTAAGTAGGCTCCACGTCCAACTTGGGCTGTGACTAATACTGAGTTACCTACTTCGGGGATCCCTGGGTGGCTCAGGGGTTTAGCGCCTGCCTTTGGCCCAGGGTGTGATCCTGGAGTCCCGGGATCAAGTCCTGGAGTCGAGTCCCACTTCAGGCTTCCTGCATGGAGATTGCTTCTCCTTCTGCCTGTGTCTTTGCCTCTCTCTCTGTGTCTCTCATGAGTAAATAAATAAAAATTAAAGAGTTGCCAACTTTAACAATATATAAAAAGTAATATAGTTTATAAATATCATTTTTTTAAAAAAGGAAAAAATAATGTAATTTTAAAAAAAGACCTTATTCATTTATCTGGCAGAGAGAGAGAGAGAGACAGCACAAGTGAGGGGAGGAGCAGAGGGAGAGGAGGAGTTGAAGGCAGCTGAAGGCAGACACCTAACGATTGATTGAGACACCCAGGCGCCCCTCCTTTTCTTTTTTTGAAGTAAGCTTCATGCCCAGTATGGAGGCCAGCCTGGGGATTTAAGCCATGACCCCGGAGATCAAGACCTGAATTGAGATCAAGAGTCACATCTGCTACCAACTGAGCCATCCAGGCGCCCTCCCCCCAACAATGTATTTTCAGACTCCCAACAACATTGTATTTGGGGGCAAGGGGCAAAAAGAAAACAATGCTGTTTAATCTGAAATTCTTCTTTTTTTTATTTTTATTTTTTTAAGATTTTATTTATCCATTCATGAGAGACACACAGAGAGAGAGAGAGAGAGAGAGGGGCAGAGACACAGGCAGAGGGAGAAGCAGGCTCCATGCAGGGAGCCGGACGTGGGACTCGATCCTGGGACTCCAGGATCATGCTCCGGGGCGAAGGCAGGCGCTGAATCTCTGAGCCACCCAGGGATCTCTTAATCTGACATTCTTTAGAAAAACACACCTGTCAGAAAAGGCAAGGAAATACAGAAGGCAATGAGAATTGGCTTGCCCTAACAGATATTAAATATAGAAGTATTCAATAGATGCTGTAGCAAAAGAACACATCCACGCAAAAGACTGAAAAAACATATTATCGTATATATAAAATTTCATAAATGATAAAGATGGTGTTTGTACCAAAGGGTAATTTATTAAACGCTGAAGGGAAAACACGAATTTGGATTTCAAGTTAATCTGCAGTCTATTAATCCTACCAGCATGTGAACTCACTAGAAAGACAGCGCTGCGGGCTATCCACTGAAGAGAGTCTCCTCACAGTTCCAAGACCTGCCAACGGGGTCAGTCAGCGGTCACGGCCCACTCCGAGCCCCTCACCCGCCCCTCACCTCCGCTCTCCCGCCCGGGCGCCGGCGCCCCCTCGCGGCGCGCCCCCGAAGCCCCGCTTTGAAATCAGTGGTTGGCACACAGACGTAAAACCACCGGAGAAATTCTCCACATGACCTTTGGGATGAACCATTTGCCTTTTCCTAAACAGGTAGCCGAAACGTGAAGCGGGCCAAAGTTGCGGGCTTCGGCGTCCTCTCTCCTTGGCCAGAGGACGTGGCTGGACTGAAGGAAACACTTGTTTAATTTTCTGACTCATGCGTATTGTCCTGTAGACTACCAACCTGCCCACAACAAACATGAACCTCCTCTTCCCAATTCCGCCCCGATGCGCGCTTCAGCGGCCATCTTTCTCCAGGGCAGGGTGCAAGCAGGAAGGTCACACCCTACCTGTCTCCGATAACGCCAGACGCCTCGAAATCCACAAGAGTCCAATTGGAACCGACGCTTCTACCGGAACAGCTTTTCTTCACAACCGGAAGGGGCTGTGCGTGAGGGCGTTGGGGGCGGAAGTGACGGGAAGGTGGTAGTGGGGTAGTTGGCGGGTGGTTGAGCAGAGCCGGTCGCCATGTCCGCGGGGAGCGCGACGCATCCCGGGGCTGGCGGGTAAAGCTTTCGTGGGCGAGGGCATCGTAGCCCGCACGGGGCGGAGGAGAGGCGGTGGGGCCAAAGGGAGCGGCGTGCGGGGGGTGGGGGGGCGCTGAGGTGGTACACGTACGTGTCAGAGGGCTGGGCTTCGGGGGAGGAAGGTGGTAAGCAGGCCTTGGGGCGCCCGAAAAAGGCCGTCAGGGAAAGGGGGGAGGAGGAGGAAGGCCGAAGCTTTCGGGAGCACCGGCCAAGAGAAGATGAGAACGAGGGTATGTGGGACTGACTGGAGCGTTTTGAGAGGGAGGAAGGAAGTGAGGAGATACTGCAGCAATTGTGTCTGTTCGGGGGGGTGGGAATGGTAATTTTAATATTGATAGAGACTCGAGGGTGTAAAGAGAACGTGGTAGCGGGGAAGCGGGGTGCCAGAGCGTGGTAAGGGAAGAATGATAGAAAAGCTTCGAAGCCTCACCTTTTCCTCTTCCTTTCTTGTAGACGCCGCAGCAAATGGGACCAGCCAGCTCCAGCCCCCCTTCTGTTCCTCCCACCGGCAGCCCCAGGTGCGGAGGTGCCCAGCAGTGGGGGAAGCCCTGGGGGCTCCGCGGCTGCTCCCTCTGGAGCCTTGGACGCTGCTGCTGCCGTGGCTGCCAAGATCAATGCCATGCTCATGGCCAAAGGGAAGCTGAAACCAACTCAGAATGTTGCTGAAAAGGTATTTGAAGTTGAAGGGACTCTTGTTAATTGTAACTTTAATTGTGTAATTAAAGGCTTTTTAGTAATTCTGTAATTAAACAATTATTTGTGTTAAGGAGAAAACAAGGTTACAGTAATTTAAAGATCACTTAGTTTTGGAATGCATCATGTGATATTATGTCATTTGTTTTCATGAGGCAAGTTTGGTTGGTTTGATTACATTTATGGACCAAATAGTTCACTTTGTCTTCACTCACTTAGTTCAGCTTAACTTCTATCTATGTAATCATTTAAAGCAATGATGTGATATTTTTCAATACTTAGGCTTTTTCCCTGAAATCCAAAGAGATGTTCAGGTAAATCAAATGACTTTAAAATGTCTCTAGTCATCTGTACTAAAACGTAAATACATATGTACAACGTTTTTTCTAGTTAGAATCTATAGATTTTTAATAACTGCCTACAGTGTAGTTCAATGTGAAATGAAATGGATAATTTATATGTTGGTGGTTTTGCTGTTTTCACACAAACTGAAATTATTTGGTCATTTTATAGAATTTCTGGTATAATTAAAATTTCACAACTAGAATAGATCTGAACTTTGAAGTCTTTAATTTATCTTGCAATGGAAGACCAACTTTTACAGGATGATGAGTATAGTGGCTGTTTGTACTGCTAGACTGCATGCTTTGCGCTTAAAAAAATCCCTTGCAGCAATTTGATGGAATGGATTACTGTCGCCAGTTTACAGAGGAGGAAAATAAGATTCGTGAATGTACATTGTATAAGATCTGTCACGGCAGACATCTGACTTCAGAGTCAGACAATTGGGTGTCTAGCTTTTGTTTGAAAGTCTCTCTTGGGTAACCCTAGTGGCTCAGCGGTTTAGCCCTGCCTTCAGCCCAGGGCGTTATCCTAGAGACCCGGGATCAAGTCCCAGGTCAGGCTCCCTGTCTGGAGCCTGCTTCTGCCTCTGTCTGTGTCTCATGAATGAATAAATAAAATCTTTTAAAAAAAAAAGAAAAGAAAGTCTCTAGATTTGGAGAGTTCAGTTCTAAGGCAGCTTAGCTCATTATAATACACATTTGAAAAAAAAAGTTCTTTGACTTCAATTAAAAGTTGAAGCAAATAGATGGGTTCTGTGTTTAAAAATGCATTTTGGGGGTTCCCTGGGTGGCTCAGCGGTTTGGTGCCTGCCTTTGGCCTAGGGCGCAATGCTGGAGTCCCGGGATCGAGTGCCACATCGGGCTCCCGGCATGGAGCCTGCTTCTCCCTCAGCCTGTGTCTCTGCCTCTCTCTCTCTCTCTATGTATAATAAATCTTAAAAAAATTAAAAAATAAAAACATTTTGGGTGAGTGGTGGATGTGTTAATAGCATGTTTGTGGTGATTATTTCCAGTGTATACATGTATCAGATCATCCAGTTGTTCATCTTAAATATATAGTTATTATTTGTCTATAATACCTCAGAGTTGGGAGGGAAAGATGATAGAGTTTTTTGTTAGCCGTCCAGTTTATAGCATCAACAGAATGGCTATTATCTGTTTGGATGTTTACTCAAGTTCTGCAGAATTGATGGGAATTTTTAGTGAGTTGGAAGTTCATTATTCATCGTATTTTTTTTTTTTAAGATTTTATTTATTTATTCATGAGAGAGAGAGAGAGGCAGAGACACAGGCAGAGGAAGAAGCAGGCTCTATGCAGGGAGCCTGACTTGGGACTTGATCCTGGGTCTCCAGGATCACGCCCTGGGCTGAAGGTGGCACTAAACTGCTAAGCCACCAGGGCTGCCCTATTCATTGTATTTTTAATTGTAAAGATTGAGTCAATTGTCCATTTTTAAGTTCTGAAAGGAAATTTTTATTTCTTTTAAGATTTTATTTATTTAGTCATGAGAGACACACAGAGAGAGGCAGAGACACAGGCAGAGGAAGAAGCAGGTTCCACGCAGGGAGCCCAATGCAGGACTCGATTCAGGGTCTCCAGGATCAGCCCCTGGTCGCTAAGCCCCTGAGCCACCCGGGCTGCCCTCTGCAAGGAAATATTAAAAGCACACTGACGAGGATGGAATGCTCCTTCAGTATTAAAATTATTTTTCTTTATTTTTTATTTTATTTTCTTGAGTGTTAAAATTTTTAACACTGATGTTAATCCTTTATTCCTTTTTTCCCCACTTCTAAAAAGCAGTTGAGGGGGATCTCTGGGTGGCTCAGTGGTTTAGTGCCTGTCTTTCGCCCAGGGCGTGATCTTGGAGTCCCGGGATCGAGTTCCGCATCAGGCTCCCTGCATGGAGCCTGCTTCTCCCTCTGCCTGTGTCTCTGCCTCTCTCTCTCTCTCTCTCTCTCATGAATAAATAAATGAAATCTTAAAAAAAATTTTTTGAGCACAGCAGGAAGCAGTATGTTGCAAATAGTGGGTTTAGAATCAGTATTTGGGGGCACCTGGGTGGCTTGGTGGTTGAGCGTCTGCCTTTGTCTGAGGTTGTGATCCCAGGGTCCTGGGATCAAGTCCCATATCATGTTCCCCACCGGGACCCTGCCTCCCTCTCTGTCTACATCTCTACCTCTCTCTCTGTGTCTCTTAAGAATAAATAAATAAAGTCTTAAAAAAAAAGAATCAGTGTCTGGATTTGAAACTCAGGATCCTCAGTTGCTGGCTGTGTGGCTTAGCTATATTGTGGAGCCTCAGTTTCCTCTTCTGATGAGGTGGTGATACGTACCTGTGCAGTCCATGGCTGTCGTCACTAACCAACTGTACCTATTTAAATTAAAATTTGAATACAATTTGGGGATCCCTGGGTGGCTCAGCGGTTCAGCGCCTGCCTTTGGCCCAGGGTGCGATCCTGGAGTTCCAGGATGGAGTCCCGCGTTGGGCTCCCAGCGTGGAGCCTGCTTGTCCCTCTGCCTGTGTCTGTGCCTCCTCTGCCTCTCTCTCTCTCTCTCTCTGTGTGTGTCTATCATAAATAAATAAATAAATATTTAAAAAATAAAAATAAAATTTGAATTAAATTTTAATTCTTATCACAGCATTTGGACATGAGGCTGACAGTGGCCATGCTGTATGGCCAGGTAGAGAACACCTGTGTCATCACAGGATGTCCTGTGGGATAGCACTGATCTGTACCTTTGGTGGTGGCCAGTACTGAGCAGGGCCTAAACAAAGGTGAGATATTGAGTCTAGTTTGTGTGCACATTTTAAAAATATTGAGGTGCCTGGGTGGCTCAATTGGTTAAGCATCCGACTCTTAATTTTGGCTCAGGGTCATGAGATCGAGCCCTGTGTTGGGCTCCTCGCTGGATGTGGAGTCTGCTTAAGATTCTTTCTCTTTCTCTCTCGAATAAATAAATAAATCTTTTTTTAAAAATGTATCTAACGCATAAACTGTTTATCTTCTTTGAGCAGATTTGCTGAGCATTGGTCCCAGGTAACAAAGGGTTGGGGAAGGCCATCTTGAGATGAAGATTTTTTTCAGATAACTCATCTGCTGTCTGGAGTAGCCTATAGTTTAAATTGAGAGAAATAAATAATAATAATAAGTTGAGAGAAACCAGGGGCATCTGGGTGGCTTAGTGGTTGTGTCTGCCTTTGGCTTAGGTCATGATCCCAGGGTCCTGGGATTGAGTCCTATATCAGGCTCCCTGCAGGGAGCCTGCTTCTTCCTTTGCCTATGTCTCTGCATCTCTCTGTGTCTCTCATGAATGAATAAAATCTTTACAAATAATAAATTGACAGAAACCAGGTCAGATTTTAGTATTTTGCTTGGCTTTTCATCCATTTTCTTAGTTCTTCTTTAATAGAGAGTAATGGGTTGTCAGACAAACTTTACGGGTTTTCCAGATCATTGCAAGGATAGAACTAGTTAAATGTGCTATGTTGGTGGCTGCAGTGTTGTCACAAAGGCAGCGTCCAATTATACAAATGAAGTGCATGGGTTGCTGGACTCTGCGTTGTACACTGGACTCTGCCCCGTATTTTACTGCACATATGGCTAGCTAGTTGAGCTGTAATGCACCATAACTTGTTCATTTATTTTTCCTTGTGGAGATTACAGCTTCTCGTCCATAAGGTTTCTAGGATTATTTGGTCGTAGAAACGTACCATGGCCAAGGTTACAGAGAAATCTGATGATTGCTTTCTTTCTTTTTTTTTTTTTTTTAATTTTTATTTATTTTATGATAGTCACACACAGAGAGAGAGAAAGAGGCAGAAACATAGGCAGAGGGAGAAGCAGGCTCCATGCACCGGGAGCCCGACGTGGGATTCGATCCGGGGTCTCCAGAATTCCGCCCCGGGCCAAAGGCAGGCGCCAAACCGCTGCACCGCCCAGGGATCCCTGATGATTGCTTTCAAGTGAATTGACAATACTTGGTGTCCATTGAGTGAAGTTTTGTTTGCTTGTTCTTTCATTTTTGAAGAATGACCTAGGAATATTTCCAAGTGTGTTTGTAGGCAGGTAAAGGGAACAGTAACGTGGTGCTGGAATGTAGGGAGGGGCACTTGTAAATTGAGCAGCAGAAACATACTATTTGATATTACAAACTCTTCAATCTAATTTCTCTTGTAGCTTCAGGCTGCTGGCAAAGGCCTAACTAGCAGTAAAAGCAAGGATGACCTGGTGGTAGCTGAAGTCGAGATCAATGATGTGCCTCTCACGTGCAGGAATCTGCTGACTCGAGGACAGACTCAGGATGAGGTGCGCAGATGTCGGGCCTCTGGGGAAGGTGGTAGGTGGGCACAGTCAAGAAAACAAGACCTCTAACTACAGACAGGAGCCAGATGTTTATGACTGAATGTGGGTCATAATCTCCAAAGTCAGGATTGGGTTGAATTAACTGTAGAGGAACTTCTTGGTAAAGGTAAACAGATAATGGGTGGATTCCTGGTC